TATTTGTGAATTATAATACCCGTATAAAAGCTTTTCGATGATCAAAAGAAAAATTCAGACATCACGTTAATTAATAATTCGTGTAATTAAAATGATTACCGTTATATCTATATACGTATATACTTATATCATATAGAAATCGTAACTTCGATCGATCGAACAAATATTTTTCAAATCACGTAGATGGTAGATTTACGCTGGAATCAACGGTGATCAGCCGCGTGTACAAAATATAATATTAATGCGGTTTCTCTTCCCTCTATCGATCAAATCTTTTCAACTTCGTGACGATTTCGTTGCCGTTTGCCGATGGCCTGCTCATTACGACGATTCCCTTTAGTGGAAATATGGAAAACTGAGACGCAAAGCGCGCGCGCGCGTGTGTGTGTGTGAGTAAATATTTTTTTGAAAATTTTATTCCTAAATTTTTCAAAATATTTTAAATAATTAATAAAATAATCAAAGAATCAAAATTTGTGAATTTTTTACGTCCTGAAAGAATTATAATGTGAGGCAAAAACATATGACGTGTCCTCACTAATTCTTCAGAGGTTTCTCACATTGATATAAAAAAAAAAATTGTTCACAAATTTTAATTCTTTGGTTAGTAAATATTTTGTTTAAAAGTTATGGTTCTGAAATTTTATAATACAAACTTGTTTTGATGAAAATAAGATAACTCCACGTCTAAAAATTTTCTATCTATTTTTTTATTTCATCTTTATATTTGACAGAATTTATATCTTCCCTTTGTAGTTTTTAAATTATTTTTTAATCACATTACTATTAATTCATTTAATTTTTATTTATAACGTTATAAGGAAAGAAATTTTTATCACAATGCAAAAGATACGCATAATTCACGTGTTTGTTCCTCGGTGTTCCATGATGTAGAACGTATGATACACTTGTAAATATAGACAAGTACAATAATTGCCAAAATAATTCGAGGCTTAAGATCGAATCTTGATCTTCGGTCTTTCCGCCGATGCTGATCCAATCAATTGATCGGTGGCAAATAATTCGCAATCACTTCCTACTTACTTGGCCTTCGTCTGCACTCGATAGTGCAAACGAATTTCCGTTATAACTAGATTTGATTAGCGATTAAATAGTTAAATAGATATTTTCTGCGAATTATTTGCCAACCGCCGCCGTATAATTAGGCGACGTTAAATTGCGACGACTTACAAAAACTGAAACATAAAGACTGTTTCGAAAAACTGAAAACTGCCAACAGACTTAAAAATACATCACATAATCTTGAAGGAATACTCCGAAACCTGCCTACTGACACTGCTCGACAAAATTTGACATTTTTCAGTGATATATAGAACCAGAAATACATTTACCTTTTTCGACATGATATTTGAAGATTTATTTCGATTATCATCGAGAAAAGACATATCTTTTTGTTGCCGTTTCTTACGTCCGAAATGCATTTAAGAATGACCATACAATTTTCGTCGCGATTTTACGAGCTCTCTTCAACGATGACTTCGTATAATATTTTTCGGCGGGACGTTTTATAATTTAAAAAGAATCGATCATTGGCGAATACGCGGAATATATCGTAATAATATATTTTAGTGAGTGAATGAATGAGAGAACGAACGATTGAATGAAAGCGTGTATCTGAGAAAGAGAGAGAGAAGAATTTATTGATAATATATTTGTAAATCCGTAATTTTCGATCACATAGTGTCGGTGATCTATCACGGTTTTACCTAATTAATCAATGTAGAATCCTCGTGGAGAAATTATAATTGCTAGTCTTTAATTATGCGATATGCACTTGTAAATTCTCGCGCTATCGTTAACGCGAATTTACACGTGCATTTCGCAAAAAGTGAATGCAAGAAATGAGTATATGAATCGATAAAAAGGTACTCAAAAGGCGAGGTGTATAATAAGTGTGAAAATATAAATTGCCATTTTTTATGTAGACAATATATTGTAATTATAATTATGTATTCATAATTACTATTATTTTATTGATAATTATTATATTGATATTATTATCGCTATTGTAAACTCTTGATTAGATTTGAAGCTCTTATTGTAATAATAGTAATTATAATTAATTATTAATTATGGCTAACTTTTAGAACTCTATTATACGTAATAGCAAATTATGATTGTAATAATTGCGGCTTTGATTTTTATACATAATATTTTATATATACATATTATAAGGAAGGAAAGATGATACACATACACACGATTACTCTTCAAGAGACGTAAGTGTATTTTGGTATAGAGCATGTATGCTATATTGTGTATAAGTGTGGCAAGAATAATTTTACGTATCCGGTCTGTATGAAACCGGAAGAACGAATTTTATCTTTGCGACTCTCGTTGAGTTGGCGATCCGTTTGTTTTCTTTATGTTTTATTTCTCGGCAATATAGAAAGAAAGGTCGTATTTAAGATGGATTGTATTTTCATGGAAATTACTTTCCAGGAGAAAATTTATATACTGGAAATCGAAAAATTTAAACAGCAATTGTTTGTGATAGCTTGCATAAGCTACCTTTGGTGAACGGACAATTATTTTTTAAGTTAATGGACATTTTTTAACAGGCCAGTAGCAAAAGCTTTCGAATTGTAATTGTAATCTCGTGGTAATCGTCTTCTTCGATATGAAATTTTTGCAATTTATGATTCTCGAGCTGACGTGCAAATTGTATGAATATCGTTTATTTGAATGCAACTCGACCCATCTTCGGGGCGCCGTATTACGTCCTCAATTAAGGCTGTAAATAGGAAGTACCAGATATTCGTTGAGCCACGCGCGAACTCAAAGTTCCCAGTAACTTCCGACATTTAAGTGCCTAAAGACCCAGATATACGTCTATTCTCTTCGTTGTCTAGTTTCTACAGTTGGATAAGGTACTGCTTATCAAAATGACAACGACAAAAACTAATGCTTGTCTGTCGGGTAATAAATTTTTTTCGCGTCCGTCGCGGAATATTTATTTAAAATATTATAATGGACATTTCATAAAAATATAAAGATAAATTGCACTTTTCTTGATATTCCAATTGAGTAAGATGTACAAACGAGAGTAAATAATTCCTTTTATATTGCATTCTTTGCAATATCTACGGTACCTGTGAAAATATTGCAATAGTGTAAAACTTTTAAAGAGCAATTTTATTAGCTTTTCACAAACTTTGTTTCGTATATTTATTAAATTATATTTTTAAGTTATTATAAATTTTAATGAGTTGCTAAATGAACAATGATGTATATAGCATAGAACAATGTACAAACTATTAACCCTCTGATGCTTTCTGAAAATAATTTTAAAACATGCATCATTTTCTTGGTCTCATTTAAAAAATCCATTTATTATAATTAAAAATGTAAAAATTTATCAATTTACTGAGATTATTCTTCATTCTATGTTTGTTTGATTGCGCACTACAAATAATCAAAAAAGTCCCAGTTGCTTGATAGTCCGTCAGAGGGTTAAACAAAGAAGCTTATGCTCTTCTATAGAAATAACAAACGATATAAAGCGCCGAAAATTGCAAGACCAAGAGAAGATGCAATAAGTAATGAAACGAACATAATAAAAACAAATCTATACGTATATCTCTACAAAAATGGAGCTTAGGGTATATACAGTAGAAATCATTCGGCAGCGCTTTATCCAACTTCGCTAGTTTTTACATCGCAAAGGACGAGAGACTGTCGCTCGACATCCTCAACAGATCTCAGCACTCCGGCGAAACGAACAAGGATCATTTATTTTTTAATCAAACTCACAGAAGGGCCAGCTCGTTTCTGTGGAGTGCGCCTAACGAATAAATAATTATATATTATAAATGAATAAATGAATAAATATAAATGCATATATATACATATATATATATTCAGATGTGCATGCGTGTACATACACATATGTAAATCTAACAATAAGTGCGGGAACCTTGAGGTGCGTGGGACAACGAAAACAGAAAAATCCTCGAAAGTGGAAGCGCCGGAACGTCGCCAGTCGATGTTTTTGTTTTTGAGGATGCAAGAGTCAATTTTTCGATTGCGTAAACAAAACCCCTGCATCACTGTAACATACCTCTATAGCACGTCTCATAGTTTAATTAGCCCTCGGGTTATCGGTCGTTTAAATTTTCTCAGGCACGAGGAAGCGGTACCTTCAAATATATTTATTTTTCTGACTAGAAAATCGAGGGATTGAAACAGTGATAAGAGGGGTAGAAAAAGAGGGGAAGATGATACATTTTGCAAGCGGTGTTTGATAATCCGAGGGTTAAGACTGATTCTACAAACGCGTTATAAAAAATGCTAGACCGAGCATATTTTATAATTATACTGTCATTATTATTGTTTGTAATTATACGATTACTATTGAATTTGTTTTTAATAAAACGGCAAGTGCCATGATTACATATATAGTAGGCTGCAGTATGATCATTCTTAGCTAATCCCTATCTTGGTAAGTAAATGCTAAGTTTAATATTAAATAAACAAATCATAAATGAATTGTTTACAGAAATTATAAAAGAATCTTCTTTTATTAAATAAATATTGATTTTATTATTACCAAGAAATTTTATTATTATCAAGAAATTGGTTATCAAAGAATTGTTTGTACAATAAAAGAAGAGAGAAGAATTGAATAACGTTAATCAAAAAAATTGACGAACAATTGACTTATAATAATAATAAACAAATGCGAGAATTAAAAATGTCAGATAATAATTTTTTATTTTTGAATGAATAAACTAAAACATAATACATTTAATAAAATACAAAACGAGATCGTATTGATAAAATGAATTAGTTCAATCTCGATTCAAAGATATAACAGAAACTTTGCAGATGAATGAACTTTTTATTTCTCGTAATATAATAAAATAATTGTACAATACAATGTAATTTTAGTGTATTTTAGTTTGAAATATTACAAACACAGTTTGATTCTATTATTTTATTATTGTAATAAATAGTTTTAGAGAAATTACAATCAGGTGCAGCAATATTTATAATTTTGATTTTTTTAGGCGGGAGGCCGAAGTTTATCTGCATTTAAATTTCTTCGCTGAAATCGAATATATCGTCTCTATTTGTGTTTGCTATTAAAATTGACGTTACTATGACTTCGTATTTTGATTGCGCATTTTGCGTAAACGTAAATCATCATCACTGCCAAAAGAACGTCTATGAAGCCGTTTGACATCAAGATTAGTGTTATAATTTTCATTAATATTCACATTTTCATTATTATTCAGTGATCTCATCGTGTCATCCTGAGTTTTCTTTTGTTGCTTCATCTTTTTCGACGTTAAACGATATTGGGCGTAGTTCTGAAAATTCAATGCTCTTTAAATTTTTTGTCTGCGATTAAAAAGCCTAAGTTTCTTAATCAACAACGAATAAATCTGTATAAAAATTAAATTAATTAAATTTCATATTCTATTTATCAAGAAATTACTGATAGAATAATTTTGTTGATATATATATACAAATTAAAATAATCATTTTTTAAATTATGTATTAGAAGAAAAAATATATAGAAACCATATTTTATTTTTCTATTAAAACTAAAATTATATTAATTTTATTATTTGCTTTTTTGTATTCTTTATGTATTCCACTAATATTGGACTCATTGCTGTCGTAAGATATTTAATGTTTTGCGATCAGATTGTGTATCTTCTCGGTTGCAAAATACAAAATATATTTCGTTCGATTTGCCTGATAAAAATATTTGCCTGATAAACATATTTTCAAGACGTTGCAAAGAGTCTAAAATAGTCTCCAAGTAATAGGATTTTCTTGCATCAGCATATTGCGACAACAAGATCAAGAACTTACAAAAATAAAAAGGTAAAAGTAAATTATACGTTATATAAAGTTAATAGTTTTTTAAAACACGTAAAATATGCGTATGGTAATCAAAACAATCATTTATTTAAAAACAAGAGAAATGTACAGAAGAACATTAGAAGAACATTTTTTTTTGAAAATTCATCGATATTAACAATTAATTCGAGATAGATTCGATGTATTAATATATGTAACTATACAAACATTTAATCGAATAATTTTTTTTTTTGTTAAAATGTAATGTCGAATTAATGGAGAGCATTGAGAATGTCCTTTCTGTGAATTTTGATTCTTACATTTACGTAATTCTGCTCATCATCATCTGACATTGTCGAATCAGAACGTTGCATCATCCTTCTGTTGTGACTATCCTTCGGATCAATCTGTTTTGATAGAATCGTCTTTAGGGAGACCATCATATCTGCCACAATGTCCTTTGCCATGATCTCTTCGTCTAATTTATTTATGCTTGGGAATTCTCTGGTGATTGCCCTTCGGGTGATCTTATCCAGTTGAGTTGCCACTTGAAAGACGGGCGGGGATGTTCCGCTTCTCCTATTATGTGACACTAGAGGCATTATAGCATTTTTGAGATCCTTCTCAATGCTCTTTGAACTGGTGACATAATTAGTGTTTAAATGAGAATCTATTATCTTCCACAATTCTTGAGTCAATTCCTGAGCTTTCACGTTCACATTCTTGTTCTTGATTATTGATTCTATTATCTGTTCCTGTAAATTGTATTTTTAGTTTTGAATGTAAATAGGTATCGTCAATAAATTGTCATTGTATGAACAAAACGAAATAATGAACAAACTCGAGCTTTTATTATGATATAATAATATTTTCATGTCATATAATAATATAATGACATAATCATGTCGAATAACGTTAACTGTATTATTACAAAGTAATTCTAATTATGTGTGTGAAATTAACGTGAACATATTATTGTAATCACTGATACATAATGTCTACTATGAAATTAATTTGTCTGTAAAAATTATTATAATAATTATTGTAATATTCTTAGATAATTGCGATAAAAAATTAATTCCTTTATCTATTTCTTTATTTTTCTCTTACATCTTCTGAAATTTGCTCCAAAGTATCTATCTGGAAAGATTTATGAATTGTGACATTATTAAATCAATTACAATTCGTATAAATGTTACATTATTTACAAAATATTTAATAATTTTTTGTATTTTAAAATTAGCAATATGCTGATATTCTGTTACCAGTATATTGTTAAAGATTAATAATAATAATAAGTACAAAAGATTGTTTTTATGTATAGAAGTACTTTGTAATAGAGACATTAAAACTTTTTTATTGGGTTTCTTAATGTCATATTATCATTATTATAATTAATTATTTTTTTTACTCGTTTTCTTACTTGAGCACAACTAAGCACCATTAGGGTAGCCCACAATATTGATAAACACGCAATTGTCATAACGTAACTGGTACAGATAAAATAATTTAAAATACTGGCTTAGCATGTCTCAAAACAACGAATGCGTATGCTATAAACCGACTTTTATATTCAATAACACGATGTGCCGATGCAATTTTCGCGCAATGTAATGGTGCGATATCAAGACCTAGAAATTAAAGATAATTCGCGTTGGAGATTTAATCCACGCGATAATTCGTGATAAATCCGGACCGTCCGCTTATAGGCAGTTTGTGGACGCACGCAATGCTGATCAATAAGACACAATGTTCGTAAGTGCAGCTTTCGCAAAATATATCTTTGAATCACAACGAAATTATCTTTTTGCGCATTTCATATTGCCGTGATCATATGTGTAATTTGTATACAAATTAATATGACGTCATTAATTCATTTTTTTTAATTCATCTCTCTCTACCTATATATTCCAGTTTAATACATTATCACTGTTTTCTTTGTAAATTAACATTAATATTAAAAACGCAGAAAAATGCAAAAATGATAGCTACACTTTTTGTGTCGTACTCGCGCAGTTGGCTCTTCTCGATTATTTTTATTTGTCTATAAGTTATGGCACACTAAAAAATTAAGCAGTAAGCTAATCAATATTTTTAATTTGCTATTGTTTATATTATTGCTTTACGATTTCTACTGTAATTTTTAATTCGTTTATTACTTACGTCACCTACGTTTTTCTATGTGTTACGACTCTATTTCTTTTTATGCATAATAAATGTTTATGCAATAGATACTTCTTTTTTTTATTAGTCTTTATATATTTTTTGACTTGTAAGATTTTAATAGGTCTAATGTATAAATATGATAATGGATATAAATATATCCTTAAAAGCGACAATATATTTTTTAATATACAGCATTTTTTACCCAATGAGAAATGACAATGAAATCGAATCGTTCGACGTCGATTTAATGATTTCGACATCAATTCGATTATCAATTCCATTATCATTTCTTACTGAGTACGGACTATCATAAGTATAGAATATGCATATAAATCAGGTTTTAAGATCGTGCTTAAGAATCATACGTGATAAGTGTTTCATTACGGTAGCACATTATAAAACTAATCAAAAGATAAGTATGTTCTGATTAGTATTCGTCAATTGATTTTCGGATGGAAGTTATAAAGATTATAAAGATATAAAGATTATAAAATTAATTTTACAAGAAATACTCTTAACACTCAGCATATCTGATGGATCGATTTCTCACAACTAAGTACTTCAAAAATAATATGAATAATTTATACATTCAATTTCAATTTTCAAATTTTTATAATTATTTTAATTGTCCTTATTGTGATGTATAATAAAAGCGTAATTACAAAATAATAATTATTATAAAATAATCAGTTTAATTATTATAGCTCATTTATATGTCCATTTTGTATATAATTGTAGACTCACAACACTCATTGTGTGATTTAAATCTTGCTTGTAAATTATTTGCTTAGATCTAGATAATATATTCGATATGCAAATTTTTGTTTCGTTATTTGTTGTAATGATCAGTCACGTAAGTTTGATTATTGTCCAATCTCTTCTCTATAATCAGTTGAAGCGCGTTAATCAATTGATCGCTGATTTCTTGTAATTTTGCTTCAAATAGCTGCACATGCAAATCTTCATCTTTCAAATTATTGATAAGAGAAGGACTATTTGAATCTAACAGATTATCGTCGATATAAGTAATTTGATTTTCAGACAATTGATTTAGCACAAATTAATCGTCAAATAATCGTTGACTTATTTCGAGGGCCAGTTCCTGCATTTTTTGTGAGTTCGAAAAAAACTTATTTACAATATAATTTTTTTTTTAATTGTTAAAATAAAATGCTTTTTCGATTATACTTAATTTAACTTTAAATAAAATTTAAAAAAATTTTAAATATTTTATTTAAATTTATTTTACCAAAATGATCAACGCGTTAATAACAAACAAAACTGAACTTCTCGGCACATTTTATCATTTACTCCGTCAAGCTAAATACAATCGCTTTAAATATGATTGTAAAATTAATATTGAATATTTCGATTGTCCAATTTTAACGACTGTTGTGTCATCGCATCACGATTTTCATCTATACTCTATATCGGATGCAGTGTCGAGATTTGTTGTTTCCGATTTAATTTTTTGTATAGCCATCTTTTTCTTTTATTCGCATGTCTCATTACGGACAATCATTAAAACAACGTCAATTGATTATTTTTATAGTAACTAAATGCAAAACATGACATAATCATATGAACGATTCTCAAACTTTAAGAGAAAATAGATTATATTATTAATTAAATTATGACTGTAAGAATCTTGATAACAAGTATTATTTAAAAGTATCTTTGCAAAGATCAAATTTAATGTTTGCAATGTTTTCTAGTATTAGCATTACAATCTAATTTACATGATAAAATTAAGTAATAAATAATCAAGTAAATAATAAAACTAAGGCAAGTTGATGCAAAATCTATATTATTTAATTAAAATTAAACGTATCAAAATATTTACGTATCACGTACTACTAATTTTGTGCAATAGAACGGAAAGAATTAAAAGAAGTTGTTGATATCAATTTTAATTAAGAAATTAATATCTCAATAATGTTACTTCCGATAACGTATCGCGATCGATCAATCTGTTCTTCATCGATCATTAACTACGTGAACAAGCCCTCGAGAGTGGAGAGGATATAATAATTACTACAACGTCCGTTATAACAATAGATGTATTTTCTGCTCAATTACACGTACAAGAGTTCAATCGGGCTGACCTATTTCTACGTATTGCATATATTGATAAATGATAAAATACATAACAGAGTAAGAAGTTTGAGAGAGATACATGGGTATAATCCTCATATCATGAATAACTAATATCAATTGTTAAAAATATCTCTTATTGAAAGAACGTTTATTATGCAAAATATCTTCTATAATTAATTTTACGTATATTTTCAGAGTTGAAGAGTCACTAAGAAATCTGCGCAGCTTTCATCAGTAGGCAGACACTGTCCGAACGCTTCTAATAATAACGGTTCCTCTATAACTGCTGTCTCATAATCTCGAAATGATATTTTTCCATCGTGATCGACGTCAAGTTTCTTCAAGGCCAGCTCCGACAGATCTTTCACTCCTTCGTCTGGATCTTCTTCACCGGGCTGCTTTATCAGGCAATTTCTATGAAATATTTGATAATTAAAAAATACTTGATAATAATTATGAATAAAACAGATACGATTAAGTTAAAATTTTAATCGTTTTTTTACTTGAGCAGCTGAAAGATTTCGTCTTTTGTGATGTATCCGTCGTTGTTTAGATCGTACACGTGAAAGCAGAAAACGATTTTGTCACGCAGACTACCTCGCAAGAACACGTCTAGTCCCATAATCCACGGTTCAAGTCTGATAGCACCTTCAATCTCTCGATCCCAACAGCAAAACAAGCGTTCTACCAGAATGTCCTCGGTGATTACGTGAAACGTATTGTGAAGGAGTTCTCGAAAAATAGTTCTATCGATTCTCTGAGCACACACAATGTAAGAAATTTGAAGAAATTTTTTAATGTAATTTATTAGGTGCGCAACTAAGTTCGCGCTGTTATTTTGATGAAAATACCATCAAAATAACAGCGAGAACTTAGTTGCGCACCTAATATATATATTTCTTATTTTGTCTAAATTCAACTTTCAATTGCGCGTGGTGTAATTACCTCGACAGCTGGCCTCGATTGTGGCCTTCTGCCGATAGATATCGACCCAACTTGTTGTTGGCTGGAATTGGTAGTCAATTTCTTATAAAGTTTGCAGAGACTATCCAGTTCCACCCTGACAAAAGAAAAAAAATCTTCGATTAAACGGTAATCAAAATAGTTATACGCGTGATTATGTTTTATTTTATACATTTATGCTACTGAACTAGTATAATTCACAAAGTGTATAATTTTTATTCTATTGGAGAATATTATTTGTGTAAATCGCATAATTCCATAACTTTTGTCTGTCAGTTCAAGTCCACTTAATTCCATTTGTTTCTCTTTGTCGAGAAAGTAACAAAATAAAAACTGGAAAATTAATTCAAGAGTCATTGCAATGCATCTCTGCAAACTCGCCTGGAGAATCTCGTCTTTTTTTTAAGGGATTCGATCACTTTTACGATGTACGCGGAATTCCTGACGCCTCCGCCCTCCGGCATCTTTCGGCGACGTCTCCTTCTTGATGACTCGTCTTTGCCGGAAGCAGCAGAGATCTGCCGCTTTGAGTTTGTCGACGCTCTGCGACCGCTCGTCAAGAAAATGGAAACGCTTTTCATGAGCGTCGCGCCGGCACGAATGCTTATACCTGTTCGACCCTCGGCGTCGATGTCGGCGCCGGCGCCGACGCCCGGCTTTGCCCTCCCAGTTGGCGTGGCGTTTCGTTGTTCAGACATCTCCATTCAATGACTAAAAGTGCCGAATTAATTGGAATTTTAGATTAGGTTGTTAACATTACAGGTAATTCTAAATTATTCGAGCAATTTTAACTTTCTATTTGTACAGCAGAATTAAGAATCTATTGTGATCTATTCTTTAATAATTAATACTTTTTTCCTGTTTATTATTGCATATACATAATATTAATAATTATAATTTTATTGAAAGGTAAGATAGAAGATAAAGACAAATGTGAAGAACAGCATCAGTAATGTGTGATACTTACAAGTCTAATCTTTTTTAGAGAGTATAATTAAGAAGAAAATACACAAGTATAATAATCAAATGTAATACATAAATAATAAAAAAAAATCATAAATCGTATATGGAAATACAAAACTTCGTATAACAAAGATATCTTTGTATACTTCAATGTACGTATTAAAAAAATACAATATTTGATAATGTAAAAAAAAAAGAAAAGTAAGATAAACATAATGTTACATTGAGTTAAAAATGAGAAATAATGAAGTGAGAAGCAAGTAATTTAAAAGTAGAAGCCAATGAAGAAAAACAAATATATACTTTAAATGGAGCTTTCACGATTGTAATAAAAATGCAAATCTTAATACTTAATAGGAATAGGAAAAATTGTATGAAAATAGAAACTATTACGAACCGATATAGACATTCGAGTTGATTAATCGATAAGAAATAATTCACAGGGCGGGGGTGCAGTGGTCCCTTTTTTACAGCTAATAATTGCAAATAACCAATCGTAGCTTGTCAAAAAATTGCTTTTCTTTCATGCAACTAAGTTATTATTATTTACGATCATATTTGCGTAATTTCCATGTAACGGTGTTGGTTCGTTGTCTTCGCCATTTTCGTGGCACGAATATTCCAATGAATTTAAATCGTACATTTATGTGCGCGTAACTTGGTCTGCGTGTACAGAGAAAAAGAACGTAATTTACTTAGAAAGAAAAATATCTGAGATTTATGAATAGTGCATTTAATATTGTATTATCTATCACTGATACGTTGAAATACAAATAATGTACGTTGTTACATCGAAACATCAAAAAGTTTATGCCTCGCAGTCGTTTTGCGAGATAAAATGTAAAAACTTTTCTCATTAGAGAATAAATACAATTCGCGCTGTATTTGTGTCTGAAGCAAACCAATTCGTGTATTATTTAGGATTGTATGATGTGAACACGCAGTGCCAGGTAGAACATAGAAAATAGAGAAAACTTTAAAGCACACCTTTATTCGTTTCATAATTATTTTACTGAAACTTTAATTTTATATCTCAGTTTGATTAAGAAGTAATATGATTGCAAGAGTTTGTACATTTTTAAACATAAAATTATATATATATATTTTGATCAGAAAAGAATTTCATCTCTAACTATTTAATAGCACATTTTTAATCAACTTATAAATTATCTAATAATCACTTTTAAACGTGAGATCTATTTATGCAAACGGTAATAAAGCGCTTGAAATATGAGATGCAGTTCTCCAAGAGAACTATTATTTGGAATAATGCATGTCTTATCTTCGAGTAATCATCTTTAACAATGTGCCTTGAGAATCGCTCCCGTAAACGCGAGAGGTCAATTCATAACATAGGAAATTGCAATTTGGAGAAGGCACGATATTAATCTCTGCATGATGAAATCCCTCCTATTTTATTGCGTTACATGATTTCTTTATTATATAAATCTTTCTTTTTCTATCATTCTTACATGTCTTCCATATGTCTTATTATATAAAAATATTTCATCGAAAGCAATTACGATAAAAATTCTATATTTGATTCTTGCCTATTTTGTTTTTTCTGTAAATTGATTTAATATTATAATTACATATATGAATTCAGCAGAATTTTGCCAATGAAGAATTTCACAAGGATACGAACTGATAGAATGAGAACTATGATAGCACCTTAAATTAGATCGCGTTGCGATACTCGACACGTATGTTCCTGACTTACGGATTCTCAATTTAACTTCTCTAATATCTAACTCACGATAAACGTAGCATGCATGTGAATTTCGTTTCAATTTACAATAATCTACTATACCTATGATACTATACCTATTGATCAAAATAATCTACCTGAAATTATTAACATTAATTAATTATTAACATTAACTAATTAATTTTCAGATTTTAAAGAATTATAATAATTTAATTTATTTGAGAAAATATTTCGTCATCAAGACATTTTTTCGAAATTTTGAATTGTCAATATTAATTACAAATAAATATTGATGAATATTTTCAATTAAATTAATTCAACCTGAAAGAAAAAAAAAATTCTAATTTCTAAATAGAAGCACAGTGATAGTGATAAATAATGCCGTTAAGAATCGCACCTTTTATTATTCGACAAAATATTATCACTAAAAAATTATGTCAACGAAGTGCATTGTGCAATTGAAGGCACTGAGGTCTTGCGAGTAGAGATCATCTTCTTCATACGAGGATGACTCGAAATGTTAAAATGTAATAGAATATTGTTTAAATAAAATTCACTGCCTTTTGTTTGTGTCATATGCGTTTAATATGATTGGCAAGTTCGATTAAATCGAAAAAAAACTTACCAATTAATGACAAAGAACTGCTTCGTCGCGACGAGGATTCCGTCGTCAGCGGTGACTACGTATTATCGACCAAACGTATCAAATGATGTGGCTGAAAAACATTTTAACATGATATCTAGCAACAGATCAGATGAATATATCTCAGTTATATAAATATTCAATACGTAGCAAAACGAATACTGCAATAAAATTAGAAATTAAACGATTTTGATAATATATATTTGTTCGATATTTTATTATAATGATATTTATTTGTTTTTTCATGTTTATTCATTAGTTTATTAATTACAATCTATAGTCAATATAATGTTATACATTTATAAATTACAAAATACAATTTAATTATAAAATACGTTTATTAAAATACCATATGGCTAGATTTTTTGTAACATTCGAGCATACAGAAAAAATTTATTTTACATAATCGCTATTTATTTGACTGATCAACGGGAGAAATATCAACATCGGAATTTACTTCTAAAATAGTTGTTGACGTTGGATGATGTTTTCTGAAATGTCGAAATCCTTAATTATTCGTCTGCATTTCTTATTATTAGTCTGCATTTCTTATAATTGTTTTTGTGCCTCTCTTACTTGCATAACTTGTCTAAACATTTTCGAATATGCACCACTTGACGTTGAATATCAATCAGCATATTAGTCATCCATTCTTCTGATGTTGCGGCTCGTTCTGTAATTAATTTTAAAATATTAACTTTCTTTTTAATTTTTTACAGCATTTTACAATATTTATATATGTCTTAATTTCTATATAATTTTACATTTTATTTAAATATATCCAGATTTATTAATGCTAATAATATTCTTTGACATCAGGGCATATTTTTGACAAGATTCTCGATTACTTACTGATTCGAACATGTTCGTCGGTAATCTCCTCATCCTGATAGACAGTATCAATCTCCTTTACAGTATTGATTAAATCTTTTATATTATTAGCGTTATTTAATGCTTGCAAGATAGAGTCTGTATTGTTAGGTTTGTCGTGCATAACTCTCGATTGCTCTTGGACAAGTTGTTCGATAATCGAGCTTAGCTGTTTTAAAAATTGTATCTAAAATGAACAATATTCAATATAAAGGTAATGTTTATATTAATAAATTGCGTATTAATCGATAATATATAATTAATTCGTTCGTTTAAGTTACAGTAGCGTATTATCGGACCTCACGTTTATTGCTGTCTTTGTTTTCACTTATTTTTATGGCAAAATTAATAAGCTTCCCAAAGTTTACCTCGTACGCTACAGTTAGTTCTTTTAGTTGCTCCGGCGTGTTTACGGAAATTGTCTCGTCTGTCAAATTAAAATATTACGCGATGTAATATTCTATATATCGATTCAATAATAGTATTGTAATTTGATGTATTCAGATAGACATTAATTTCTATGCAGACTGCACTTTCTTTTCTCTAATTAGTGAATAAATTATGACAAGCAGAAATTGCTCGTGTAATAATTATATATTACACGTTACTGTTATGTACTGTTGTGTAACTCTAATATGAAACATGAAACATACAAGTCCTACCTGCTTCTCTCACGTTTGAAAACGTGAGCGAGCGGCACTGCGCCTGAAAATGAAATTCAGAATAAAATTATAATATATTTGATAAAATTCTAAAATATTTAAGTATGCAAGTGAGATTTAATTTTCAGATAACAAAGAATCGGAGAGATATATATACTTTCGAAAAACCTTAATCTTAGAAACTCACTTCAATCGCGAAGGCAGCAAATATAATTACAAAGAACTTCATCTTCATTTTTCGATTGTTCGCGTAACTTTGCTAAGTGAACTCTAATGAGATCGTCTAATAAACGAGACCGTTTTATAGGCATCGTGTGCGAACACGAAGGCACATGCACATGTGAAGTTTTCCAAAACATTTAATGAAAACATCCGGCGAGGAATAAACGAACGTATCGTTGTCTATCGAAAACGCGTAAAGTCACGCGAGTGCATAGATTCGCGTGATTATTCTGCATGATGAGATGTAATTGTATTTAATATTACCGGGAGCAACATATCTTTATTGTTTAAATATCGATATATTACGTCTAGAATATTAATATTTTCCGAGTAGAACATAATGGATTATGAATAAGGGAATTGTCAATGACGTCTAACGTCGTTGTTCCCGAATTTGCACAGAATGACAATCATTTTTCAATGGCTGTCACGTTTTCTGAATATAAAACTAAGTGTGATTTGCATTCATGGACAACTGATTGGATTGAAGTATGTAAATCAATGGTCTGGATCTGATTTGCTAATCAATATAAAACAAATATGGAAAATGACACCAAATAATGTAATTAAATTTAATAATTCGCAAGATGAAATGATTACTATATTGGTTGCGATTTACAAAATAAGTCAGATATATAATCGGGTTTCATATTTTTGTATATAAATTTATTTGATATGTGAAAATATGAACGTTTATATATATATAATAAATGCACAATTATAATTTATTACGTTACATCTTATGTTACATATTATTATGTTATATGTCCATTTTCATGAGCAGTGGCCGTTTTTTTAAGTCCTTCATCGTCCATATCTATTAAAATCAAAACACATTATTGTAAATTACATGCTAATAAAATTTTATCACAGAATAACATTAATGGGATTGCAAGATCACAAAGTATTATATAATTATAATCAATAATTAAGATTATATCTAAAATTTCTCTTTACATTTTACAATTAATGAGTTTTTTTCAACGAGTTTGACTTGCTAAAGATTCTCATTAATCGATTTGTGATATTTACCCAGAATTAGCAAACGAAGTCGCGAAGGAACCGCTGCCGAATGGCGTGCTAATTGAACCTGCATTGGCTGCGCTATTGGCGAATCCGCCACCGTATCCTCCGTATCCTCCGCATCCTCTGCATCCTCCGTAACCACCGTGATGTCCGAATCCTCGGTGTCCTCCATAACCATGATGATGACCATGATGACCTTGAAAACCGCCAGATCCGCCGAATCCGTGACCGTAACCGCCGCCATATCCACCGTACGCAGTACGTTTAAAACGAGGCTCCGACTCGGCTGTTCTGATTATCCATTGAAGGTCTGAATGAGAACCTTTAGATTTGAATTTTAATTCAATTAATTCAGGCATCACTTCTTAATAATAATTATATTACTAAATCTAGAGAGATAGCTATTAATAACGATTTATTTATTTGCTGTATTAAATTTGAAATTGTTATTTTAATTTTAAAAGAAATTCCAGACAGAAAAATTTTATACAACTCTCTGTCTTAACTATGTATTTTTTTCAATAAATAGTGAGTGGTATAGTACAAGATAAAATTGATCAAAATGTTGGCGTCGACATAAAAAGTAGATAAACTGGTTTCTTATTTGTGTCGATGCAGCATGATGCGTTTCACATGAATTATTTATTAAAATCAATATCTCAAATTATTATAAAATTAAAAAAAATTGGATTTAAAAAAAATTGCGCGCATATGTTTTAAAAATAAATTTCTATTTCCTAAAACTTCCAAATTTACAGGAGATACACAAAACATCCTTGCTTAAAGATAATAAAATTCAATTTATTTCACAATCTTGATACAAAACCGATAATATAATAATATGTTAAAATTTTATTTTCTGCAACACTTTCACGAACTTTTGTCTTTACCTTGAAGTTGCGGTGCTGGTAATGCTACTGCAATTGCGACAAGCAGTGCAACGAATAAAAGGATCCTTGACATTCTGATACTGATCGCGCAGGTAAGGATATTCAGTGCCAAATGACGATGAGAAAATCGGCCAGGCAGTCTTTATATATACGAAACCCGTTTATATATTCCGGGATATCCCAACGTCGCGCGTTTACGCAGATACGAAACGGGCAGTTTGAATCGGCGTCGAATCGGCCGTATATCATTAGCACGAACAGAATGAACCTCTCTTTTGTCGATGTGGAGTTGATGTGCCGCTGGCGCTGTGTCCCTGGAATGACTTCCGTCCTTCACTCAGTGGAACGTCATTTCGTGACAAGTCCAGCAATCCTCGATATCGCAGATCGTCTTAGTTCTCAAATTTTAAGGAAGTGCGAAAGAATACAGGTAGATCACTAATAAGATTTCTTTACAGTAATTAATTTATTAATCAATATTAATTAACGGTTTTTATTTAATAATTACTAACTTTGTAGTAATTATTATAATTATTATGCGTCACAACTAAATTTCTAAGTTAATTAATTAATCAGAAGTAATTAAAGTTTCTAAAGTAATAGTTTTAATTGAAATAATTTAGTATCGTATAGCAATTTATTATTAAATAATAATTAACAATGTTCTGATAGAGAGTTTAAAAGATTTTTGTATTTTCATACAAAGATTGTCCCATATAAATACTTAATTTTTAATTTTTAAAATAGAAAAAAAGCTGAAAAGTTTGGGAAACTGTCAAAATAATCGTGCTAATTAGTTTTTAATAGTGGAGTTATAAAAAATAATTGTGGTAAAGTAGGTTGAAGAGGTAAATAAGAAATTGTGGATACACTGAAGAGAGTTCAATGAATAGCATAACGAAGGTTTCTATGAAGGAAAACGTGAGTACTAATTTTGCCTACATAATTAATATCCGACACGCTGTTCATGTTATCATCAAACATTTTATCCTTAATAGAACATGTTAAAATATTTTTGCCATGTTTATAAAACTGTGTAATAAAACAAAACAATCATAATATAAGATCACCATAATATATGTATAATGTAAATCCTATGTTCAGAAAGAACGATATTAACACGAGAGAAATCGCTATTTTATCCAACATTCGGAAAATGTGAAAATAAAAACGCGTTTTTAATTATTAATCCTTTTGACCTTCAAGCTTCTTACATTCTGTTGTATAACTAAGTATTCAAAATACCATTTCTCAACTGTTGTCGTGCATATAATCATCTTTAAATTCATTGTCCAACATTAATTACGCTTGGTCACCGGAATAGCCGGTTAGCTTAAAGAACCGTGAAATCTTGCTTGCCTAGAGGATACATTAACTAATCTTGATCAACTGGCCTTGGTTTTTCTCGGGACTTCACAGTCTTAGGTCGATGAACGAATACATTTCGGAATTCCCAACAATAAGTACTCTGTTCATCTAATATTATTCTTCTGTATATCTAATATAAAACAATTGTATGGTTAAAGATCTATTCAACAAACTACATACTTAATTACAATTTCTCTTGATTTTTTAATACATATTTATGTTAAAACATAAACTAAAATAAACATTCTAATTAAAACATTGATTGGTTTAAAATAAGATCCTGTTGATGAATTAATTCAATTAATTAAAAATATATATTACACACAAACACACACACACACACACACAATATTTATTTTTAATCCTTACAAAATTATTTATAAGACTTCGCAATAGTCTATATATTTATAGTTACGAAAGTTATTATTGGTTACGAAAGTTTCAAAAGACTTACTCGGAATTTTTAACATGTATGAGTTTAAAATCTTGAAGATATTATATAAGTAAAGTCAGAGACATAATACTAGGGAATTTGATTATAGATAAAATTAGAAAATATTCCGATGACGTAAATTGTATATAAAGTTGATTTAAATAATTTTTCAATTAGTAAACACTTCAAAAACACATTTTACAAATGGAAATCTCCATTCCGTTCTAACGTAGATCGAAATTATTAGCACAGTATCCCGCATAATTGTCATGTTACATATTTACATTGTATAAGAATCACTGTATAAGAATTTTTACCCGACGGATTTATTTAGGAAAACGTATACTCATACAATAAATTTACACGTTTTTTTTGCATCATACTCAAACAGAATTGTTTTAAAAGTTACATCACGCCTAAATTTGGGATTTCCGATAATAGGTATTGTATGCTCAACGTTCGCATTATTATTCCTTCCAAAGACAAGTGATTGCAATTTTGCATGAGAATGCAAAGTGATCTTATAATTTTGTAGTCACCTGTCTTAATCTTACTATTAATATTTTTGAAACATAATTTTTCCGACAAGTGCAAACAATTAGGTATTTACAAACAGTTATGGACGTAATAAGCGTAGGAATTTTCCGATGTCAACTTTTTATATGTCTGTTTATTATTTAATAAATTTTTTATTTAACATTTAATAAATTGATCGTTTCAATTTTTTATTTTTCTAAAAGTTAGAAGCAATTTTGTCATTGCACTTATTGTGTAAATTTAAAACGCTGCACAAAACTATTTCAGTATAAATTTAATTGAACCATCAAATCTTTTCATTATTTATTTTTATTAATCATAATATTTCCAGACAAAGTAAATACCATCTACTTTACTAAAAATTTCTTAATTCTTGACTCGTCATGTATTATACAGTGAATGTTGCAATAGAGAATATTATTTTGTACAGTCGTTGATATGTTAAAATTAAAGATTTATTTATACGGATTTTTTAATCAATCACACACATAAATTTGCAGCTTTTGATAAAATATATTGAAAACGTTAATTTAACCGCATACTTCATTTATCATCTGTTGTATATATATGATAATTAGTATGTGTTTTTTTTATTACGGATTAATTTATTATGATGTGATTAATCGTAGATCGTTTTTAAAATGCGCGTCATATAATAATGAATATGTCTCAACTTCGGATTATATGTTTACAATAAAGTTTGATATTATATTATATTCGCAAGATTTGAATTTTCTGTTGCTTTGAGTTTTATGTAAATAAAATGCGTATGTTATATAATTGTCATAATATAATATAATTTATTTATATTTAGAAATTCTCAGAAAGTCCAAAAAAGTGTTTTATTTTAATATTTTTTTATTCTATTATAATTTACATTTACAAAAGACTTAATAGTATAGATATAATAAAAAATAGATATAAATTGTTAAATGTATATAAAAAGAATATTTATTTTTTCATTAAAAAATTATACATAAATCAATTTTATTATTTGAATTTGGATTTTCCTCGAGTTAGTCGGATATTTAGATTTCTAGAATTTTATTTTAGATGACACTGTAATGTGAACATTTAATAACAATTCATAATTTACAAAAATATAAGCGATTGCGGATTATGCTAAGTTTACTAAGTCTTCTTATATTATTATAAATTATGATTGCATATTCCATAAAGAAGGTACTAGATATATTTAATTTTTTAACTGTAGTTTGATATATTAATGGATATAAATGAAACAAATCATCTAAGATTTGTTAAACTTAAACAGTTACAATCTGTTTGAAAGTTTACTATAAAGTGATACAGCAATAATTTAAAGCTCGATATAATCTATATACTAAAAGATTGCAAATTTATGTTAATGTCTACTTAAAAATGTATTTTCACATAATAAATTGCACATTCTTAAAAACAAATTTAATATTGCTCTTAATTAGTTTTGCTTTTTCGTCGAAAATTCTTTTGTGTATAATTTGATATTTTTTTTTATATCTGAGATTTAACAAATATTTAATAATACAATAAAAAATGTAAAAAGACTTAGCAATTACGAGGATAATGTGCGAGTTGTCCAAAAGAGATTGTCTTAAAAACTTCTTATTAGGCGAATTTAATTTGTTAATTCGCTGATAACATCGATCACTTTAACAATTATTCCTTATACGGCTGCGGGCGTTGTTTCTTTCTAATAAAAATACAAATAACAAAATGTATTAATTTGCACATATTTACTTATATATTTATTCTTATTTCTTGTAGCGATTTGTTTAAATAAAGATAGTTTTTCTTTACAAATACTTGAATTAATTCAGTATATTTAAAATAATTTAAGAGAGAGAATCTTTTTTTCCAATGCGATTAACGCTAACTTGTTTTTTATCGCAATGTTTCTTTATGAAGGTAATCAATGGAAGGAAAATATAACTTACCCAGTTGGAGATCCTCCATAAGCAGTGGCTACTGAGCTGGCAACTCCGCCTTTTCCTGTAGAGTAACTATTTGCAATGGCAGTGATAGCACCAGGAACAGATCCAGAAGATCCAGCGCGAGTAGCCAGTCTTGGGAAGCTGAAGACCATAGGGAAGAAGTTGTTCAAATGAGGATATTTCTGACGACGTCTGTTGCCCTTAAAAGGTACAAATGGCACAACCGGTTCATCGTCTTCCTCATCCACCTCATCCTCATCGTCGTCATCATCGTCAGCGATAGTTACGGGTGTCTTATGCGTTTTTTTGGAATGATGCATCTTTGGACGAGACGCCTCCGTGGCAGTAAACGGCTTTTCCGTCGGTTGTGCAATTTCTGTAGTTAACGGAATCTGCTCCAATTCATGATGCCCCTGTAAGAATAATATAGATCTCCATGTCGTATTTCATAGAAAACCATTTATTAAATAAATCAATATTTATAATCTTACAAAAATTCTATTTCGTGAATGTATAAACGTAAACTGATTTCACAATTTTAAACGTGAAACATCTAAAATTGATGCTACAAATTATGGACTTACTATTTTATTTTTTTCAAGTTTTATTTAAGAATTAGTTTCACACTTATATCAAATGCAAATCTCATCAAATCATTGTTAGGGTCACCTGAGGGGTCAAAGAATCCTGATGATGATGGTAAGAATCCTGATGATAATGAGGATCGTCGGGATGAAGCTGTTCCTCCTCATCGTGACGATGCTCGTGATGCTGCTCTTCCTCATGACGATGCACTTCATTTCGATGATGATGAAATTCGCGTTCCTGTTCTTCAGGCGCCGGCGCCGCCTGTGCCTCGGCGCTGGACACTTCCGATTCCTCGATTGGTTCCGGGCCACCCTTGAGATGCGGCGTGTGCATACCACCGAAGAAAGCTTCGCCACTCACAGCATTTCCTTGCGCGAAGACGCCTGTTGCCTGGCCACTGTTATTCGTGCGACGTATCGGTCTGTAATAACCGGTGAACATCATCGTCCTGTGTGGATAAGGACGCACGGCTGTCCTCTTTTCTCTCAGGAACATTACAGGATTGCCGTAAGTATCCAGCGTCACAGAAACTGTAAATAATGCAAATTTTTAATTTAATAATAATACGTAGGTATTATATTATTTTTCATAAATCTTTAGCTTCGTTTTTAGGAAACAGATCTTTAATATAAGAATTATAGAACAATAATAAAATTTATAGAATAATTATTGTTATTTACATTTGAAATTATCGGGATGTTTTATTTATTACATAACTTTATTGTGCCTGTTTAGTTTCTACATTAATTACATAACATTTAAAAAAGTTGAAAATCTTTTTATAATTTAGTTTTTTATGCCTTATGTATTATACACAAAATGTTTTTAAAATCTTCAAGAAAAATATTTCAAATTAGTATATTAATTCTAACGCTTACTAGGCTCAGTCGGAATCACTCTCGACTCGGCTATCGCGACCGACGCCATCGCAATTAGAACGAAACTAATGTAGTTGACCATTCTCGCTCTGATCTTAATCCGAGTTTTTTCGTGACGATCCTTTGTCGACTCTGATCATTCGTCTCTTTAGAAATCCTTCAGGAAATACGACTTTTTCGTGCTTTAGCGATCTTCGATAGAAAATCCAGATAATTAAGCGGTTCACTTCCACCGATCTTGCCGATCTTGATGCACCAACTTTTTGCACGATGCTGGTAGTCCTTACCGTCGCAATAGCTTTTATACCACGGACATGCAGGACAATGGGATGGGTAGGTACCTTGATATGGGGGTATGGGATGGGTCGGACTTATTGGTGGATACACAGGGGATACGGAATGCCCCACCAGCCTTCGTCAAGTGGTCTCTTATACGGTCAGGATCGCGGTAAAGTAAGCGCACGCACCATCAAGCTCTACGTGATCGTCATGACCGATGCGAAACGTGAATTTATAATTGTGATCCGCGCCGATGACAATCTGGATTCGCGGGATCGGACCGATGATGATATGGGGAATTGCACGATGATCTATTCGAGGCTCTTCTATGCATGTAAATGACATGAAATTATTGATGGATATGCATACGTATATTTAAAAGGAAAGTATCGTTATATCCGAAAAGACAATCTTATAGCACCACATAAATATCTGATCGAAATATCTATTGTCTTGACGAACTCATTAATGTTTATAGGAATTTAAGGTTCACTAAATTAGGGGAGAAAGGATTGCGAATTTAGATTTGGCTTCACATTAACTTGTAGCATATTTTTCATCAATTATTTTTTTTTATCCATTATTCAATTCATTCATTCTATCTTTTTTGAATGACCATGGTTAGAGAATCAGAGAAAGAGGACATTGAACGAGTGATAAATCCTGAATCAGAAAGAATCAGGTTGGTTCGAGGCGTTTGACTGAAACAAAGTGTTTGTAATGAATTCGCTTGGGAAACGGCGAGAATGTGAATGGGCGATGGTTGATGAATGTCGCGGAGGGCCGATGGCCTTACACTTTCCCTCTTTTGCGACGTGAGTTACTGAGTCACCCCGATCAAGACGTGATAGAGAAATCTAACGTGCCAGACAAACAGACTCGTGGGCAGCTTCATGCATTTTCAATTGATCTAAAAATATACACGATCTGACAATCGAAGGATTTTGTTTGCTTGCCGTTTTCCTCTTTACGGATAATGCACGTCCTGAGAAAAGTAAAGTAGTAATAAAATTAAAAGATTGATAAACGTGATTATACAAATTATTATTAGTAAAAAGTTAAATTTTGTATAACATAAAATTTAGAGTTATGAAAATCAAAATTCAAATTTAAGCTAAAATAACGACCGCGGTAGTAAAAACTTGTGTATAATCAAATGCAACCGCAAGAAAGTCGGGTTAGTACTTCGAAAAGTTATGAGGGATGCGTCGTTGCATTCGTCACAAACATAAAATGTGAATAGCAGCAGGGATGACCCGCAATGAGAGCACGTCGTCTGTGTAGGGATCAGATAATACCGCGTCTGCTTTTGCAGCTGAAGATGAAGCGTGGTTGAAGGGAGACTGACATCAAGACGAATCTGACTATGAGCGCGTTTTACTATTCCAGACACGACAGCTACCACCATTGGACTCTTACAGACTTCTTGATCATCCCCGAAGAATTATCGTCACCTCTGACCAAACGTACCCGTTCAGACGAGTATGACTGACATAATATTAATTCTAAGAAGTCACACGTGCAGTCGTAGGGAATTACGTCAAACTCGCGTCATTATCGGTGAATGGATCCGGTATCTTTGCATAATCGTTTAAAACCGTTTGTTCAGCTGTTCTAAAAAGAGATCTGATATTTTACAATGGAAACTTTTTTTATAATACGCATTTGTTAAATATTTTTAAGTATTAATATATTAATTAGAATCTTTAAGGATTTTTACCTTTTTTATTACATCGATAAAATTTTATCCCCTTATTATATTATTATTTTATCCTTTATTACATTATTATTATGTTAATATTTATTATTTACGCAAGAATAAAATACACAAGAGCAGAAGTAATTTCCAATTATAAGTGGATAAGAATATAAATCAAATAAGAAAAAGAATTTTATATTTTTCTGTCAAAATTTTGGATTTTGGAATAATAAATTTACAAATACATTTTTTAGTTTTATAAACTGTTCATATGAATATTATTGAGTTAAGAACTACTTTAATCGAAAGATATCTTATGTGAGAGAAAGAATGTTTCTCTCTCATAACGTAGATTTTTGGATATTAAGTATAATTCCATTTATTAAATTATAGCAATTGATAAATGAGATCATATTTAGCGTTCAAAAGATTACGTCAACAATTACCTTCGTTTTTGTGTTCTTCATTCTTAAAAAAATTCATTTTTGTTGGACAATAATAAGTCAAATATAGTTATATATTTATTGTTGCATTTATATTAAGTGTAAGTTGAAGTTATTACATAACATGTGATTCAGCGAGTCATCAAGAATCGAAGAGTTGCTTGTAAATTTCGTATTTGCATTTGCGAATTAATTCTGCAATTGTGATTCCACATAGCTCGCCATTCTTTTTTTCCATTTCGGTTTCTAGGTATATGAGTTAGAGAACGACGCGGATGTGCTCCGGAGATTGATTTTTATGCTCTCGGAGAAGGAAGAGGCAGTATGATGTATAAAAATATTCCGGGGAGGGAGGAATGATGTATGAATTTTGCGATACCAACTGCGATACCGCCTACCTTCTGTCAGACACGCTACTTTTTGATCCGTCTGGTCACGCTCAAAAATACGATATGCGTGACTTGGAAAGCGGTGCGATTCGGGATTGATTCATGAAATAACGAACTCACGACGTAATGTCTGCGATATCGGAGTGCACGACAATCGAGCCGCTTAACTGACGAATGTGAGTTAGAATAAATATTATTCTAATCTTTCGAGAATCCATGTGAGTTAGAATAAATATTATTCTAATCTTTTGAGAATCCATAATTCCATTAAAATCTTTCAGCTTCCAACGCGTCAACTAAATCATTATTTTAAACTTGATAAATTATTGTACCATCTAAAAATTTATTCGTGATTCTTGCTAATCAATTTTTAACAAATTAATATTTTTGTCATAATGTCTGTCACAATTAAACAATATGTTATAAACAATTTGTATAATGCAAAGTTTTTTTCTCCGCGTGTGAGTAAAATTTATATTTCAAGGAATTTAAAGGTAAATAAAAGAAATGCTTTTTTCTCTTTTTTTTAATATATTAGGTGTTGGAATTAATTCGTAGCGTTTTTTAATGAAAGAATGTTATTTATTTCACATGAGCATTAAAAAATACATTAATGAAAGTACTTCCCATCACTTGTAAAACGCTACGAATTAATTCCAACACCTAATACATATTATGTTACAATGTACTTTTAATGTACATATTATGTTACAATGTACTGTTTAAATAATTAATAATCCGGATTTAAAGTAGCACGTGGTTGATTTGAGAATAATGCGGTACAAGTTCAATGACCGTATCTGAAACCGATTTGAGAATAAGGCATTTTTATAGGTAAGAAAACAGGTGCGTCTAGTACCGTTGAAGCAATTATTCTGAATCTTCTTTAAAGCGATACATATCAGATGTGTATTGCATGTAGAGTTTGCGAAAGATATAGATTTACAAAATTTAGATACGAAATGCTTCCATTTATTAATCGAGTATCTAAGATCGTTATGGCATTATTTTTTGCTGTAAATAATTTTTTTCATTGGTACAAAATGAGAGATGCGCATGTTATTTTTACAAATAGTTAAATTGTTTATGCAATAATTATTTATAAAGATTTACCAAAATAATTTTGAGCACAAAATAGTTACAAGAATTAAATGGTTTAAGTAATGTATGTAATTTAAATGATTCTAATTTCTAATTATTCCCTGTGCTTATAATGGATCGTAGTACTTTTTTCGCTGAGTTCTATAAAGTATAAATTATAATCTCTTACATAATTATTCGCTTACTTGTTGAATAAATTCAACAAATGAATTCATATCTCGTGTACGAAGTCAACCCTCCTCGTTGCGGAATTAAAATCAGAAATCCCAGAATTCTCAGGATTTCAGCGGTACACTTGACTCCCGCTTTCGCAAATGTCTGCGCGGTTTTGCCGACGGAATCTCATTTAGTGCCATCGCGCAGGCTGAATTAAGATTAGGCGATGTCGAATTACACGCTGGGCAACGGCATACGTTGATCGGCTCACGTGCGACAAGCCGTCGAAGACGTGAGACATACAGATCGTACTACTTTGGTAGCCTCGCCTAACTCGAAATCTTGTCGAACGATCGACTGGCAAGTGATGCTGATGATTAATTCGTGACGCACATTAAATCGATGGGCGATCGACGAATTTCTCGCTTGTCGTTCGCGCATCGATTTCAAAGATTTGAAGGGATTAAGCCAAATGCAATTATTATTAACAAGAAAGTCTCTCGAATTAATATTTTTAATTTAGCGCAATGCGCAATTATTTTTCTTTTACAAATACATATTTATTTTTTCTATATAGAGATATTAAACCGTTTAAATCTTTTTTAAAGAATATCTTTAAAGGTATTTGATTGAAATTAAAAAGCTTTGAAAACTTGCACCTCAGCTTCCGCAAAACAGCATTTCAAGACACATCTCGGTGTAGATATTCACAATCTTATTTGGAAACCAATCACGAAGAGTCCGGTAAGTCCGGTAAATCCGGTAAGCACAGCGAGTTGAAAGACCGCGTAACATCTTGCCTGTGGATTGCGTTCATTTTGCAAATTTTCTAAATAAAACAGACGAAAGCTTCATGCTGTATCGAATCATAGTATTGTACGTGTTGACTTAAATGTGTATCCTGTTCAGTGGCGTAGGCAAGACGAAAAGATTGGATCGTGGGAATTATTGAAAATTCGAAAATAAAATGAATATATAATTAATAAAGCTAAAAAAGTATTTACTTTAATAAAAAATTAAGAAAGAAAAATATTTTAAATACAGATAGTTATATATAATTGTTTAAATTTAAACAAATCTAATGCAGATCTTAAAAAATTTCTTTTCTAAATTGATTAAATAATCGTTACCAAAATGAAAATTGTGCCATCCTCTAAATAATACGGATAAATGATTTTTGAAATTTTTATAAATCTATAAATTTAGTA